GAAAACATATTTAGGAATTAAGTGGTGAACAGTTGAATAATTATATTCGAAATGGTACCGCAAAACGGCAAGATCTAACTTTTCTGGGCGTTTGAAATTTTTTCTTATTCTTTAAAATAACACAACTGATTATTTACGACTTTTACTTGCTTTTACAAGACATCTAAATCAGAATCACAGAAATTTCGCCCTATGCATTCATAGCCTATTTTATGCAGCGAAGAAGGAATGAAAACATTGCTCGTATGCTGTACTTAATATCTATAATTTTAATTGTTACTACCTATATTTCTACACAAAAAATTGATTTTTGAAATAAAATCTTTCCATTATAGATGTCTTGTTGCTGATTAGAAAAAAGGCTAAACGATAATTAGATGGCCGATTGATGATACCCTAAATTAGCTTTGTGAAGACGATTTATATAATATTATCCGAATAAAAATCTTAGACACTTCTTAAAATCATCTTTCTAAAATCTCATAAGATCTTATCCTTTAAGATTTTGATAAGATAATCTAAGATCTTATCGTTTAAGATCTTAATAAGATTATAATGACTCTACTTTCATTCACCCTTTTGTTTTGCTCTCATTCATTTATACAAGTAAATACAGAAAGTATGAGTGATTTTGCGGTTATTTTTCTTCCAGACTCTGCTAGTACTTGCTCTCTTGAAACAACAACCCTTTAGAGAGTGTATATGCAGGTGAAGGTCCATAGTTAGACACCCAAAAATACGAAACTTCTCTTCATTCTTCGACACTGTTCAACGGCTGCTTTGGATAATGCGGATTAAAATCTGAAAAATTTTCAGCGAGCCTCGAATGAATATTATTTAGAAAACATCATCGTTCTTACTATTAAGATCCTAACAGATTCTTATCCAATCTTAGACAGTATAATCTTAGTAAGATTTTTTGCTTAGATTTGTGTAAGATCTAAGAAAAATCTTATCAAATCTTAGAATTTTCGGGTCTCACGATCTTAGTAAGATTTGTTTAAGATCTTAGACAAATGTAAGCAAAATATTACTAAGATCTTAGTAAGATTCGAGTAAGTTTTTCACTAGGGTAGTCTACTATCCCAAGTAAACGAAAATGTGTGAATGTTTAATGGATAATTGACGTAATAGTCTACTGACAAGCAAAAGTACAGTTGGTCATTGCCTCTCAAATCTGTATGAAAGAAGTATAGTTTTGGAAAAGATATGATCAGCATCATGTTTTTTACGAAGTTATTCTATGGTATTGATGCAACCCTTAAAATGCAGATATAATTACACCTGAGCTAGGCGAGTCACAAGTCAAGTCACTAAGAAAAAGTTCAAGTGAAGTCGAGGTCGGAAAATTTTTTGTCTTCCAAGTCAAGTCATCCCTTGAAAATTTTTTCCTCGAAGTCAAATCAAGTCTGATTAAAATTAGGCAGAACATAAAATTTGCTAGCACCTTTTGGGTGAGAGAGTTTTTATAGCCACAGAAACTCTCTTCAAATGTCTAATTTAAACGAAAATCTTACTAGAAATGTCTTGACTTGAAAAAATTTCTCAAGTCAAGTCAGATCATACCCAGTCAGTCATAGTCATTCCAGAAAAGCACAGGAAACTCTGCTTACGAAAAATTTTACGCGTTTAGCGAGTTTCGAATACTAACGTGCAAGGAGCTGCGAGTGTGTAAAAATAAACCGCAGGAAGCGCACATTGCCATGGAAACAAAGGCTTTACACGCGTGTTCCTGCAGTTTATTTTTACACACTCGCAGCTTCTGGCGCGTTATTATTCGAAACTCGCTAAACGCGTAAAATTTTTCATAAATAGAGTTTCCTGCGCTTTTCTGGAATGACTATGACAATTTTATTACCCGTATACCACTTTTTTTGTATTGTCATAGTTGACTGCTTATCTGGCGACATCTACCCCCGCCCTGCAGAAAACGTTTGCTTAGCTGTTTACCTCTCTGCATCAGTAGAAATTTCAGATGATCTCTTTGAATATTTTCTCTCTTATGTAAAAAATAATTTGCTCATACTTTTGTCTCTTGTGATTCGCTTATCCATAGAATATCTGACAGCCATTTTTCCGTATTTTGCGCATACACAAACACACACTCACAGACCAGTGTTTCTAACATTACGCGTACGCCTTTGTTCCAAAGCGTACGGTATGCGAACTAAATTGAAAATACGCTTTGTATCAACCAATAGGAAAAGACAGAACGATGAAATCCACGAATTACTACGCTTATGTACGCGTTGCTCAAAATTCTCATTAGAAACCCTAACACAGGCAACTATTTTGTAAGACCCTAGACCAAAGTCAAGGGAATAATAGGTGAGTCCTGATAGAGAAAAGTATGGACAGAATTAATCGTGGTATTATTCTCTCTACACACATACAACATTTTGCTCTTCATTTTCCTTCATTTTTTCATCTTATATGTTGTTTTATCTGTACTCTTCCGTACTATTTCTGATTACTACTATATGTTAGGTTGCATCATTAAACAAATATTATTTAAAAACGAGTTACTCTGCATTTTCAAACGATCTTTTGCGTTTCTAGTCTCATTTATATTGTCATAATACTTCATCTGTTCTGCATCACTGTTAAATCATGAATCCTACTATTATCTATCCAAATGAACAGTGCTCTCGGTCGCTTTTTGAATAACTTTTGATAGAAAAATGATAGAAATCTACGGTTTTCAGTTTTGAAAACTAGACACTTGACGCGATATTTCCATAAGCAAAATCGATATTTGAAAAGTTTACCAAAGTCGGTTTTTCTGAGGAGCTTTAGAAAACCAGTTTGGATCTCTTAAAACCTGCACAGAAATAGGTTCATTTTTTTTGACAGATATATAGTTCAAAGTGTCCTCTACAAAACTGCATCTAAGCGCTCATTCTGATTCTGTACGTAAAACCATTAAAAAATATTCTTTGATTTCCAAAGTTTTCTGCGAAACCTTTGTAAAAACCGAAATATTTCTGTTGGTTTGTACAACATTTATTGAGCTTCACAGTATGCTACAGATAAAATAGAGTATATCTTGACATTCTGAAGTAGGTTGGATGGATTTTGACTGAGTTATGAACTTTTTAATCTTTGATGAAAATAATCAAAAATGGATTATTTCACCTACTACAGATTTTCACTCGGTTGTTACATTTTGTTCTGAAAGCTAACATTGCCACGAGATTCAGCATAGTCTATAACCTATGTTTTCAGCCATTTCTCACAGTCGCAAACCTAAGAGCAGAGTTTATATACTTTTTTTATACGAGTTATAAACTTTATTGTATTATTTATCAGGATCAAGACATTTATATCAGTAATACAATGAGAGCAACGCATTTGGTGGTGACGATAAATCATTTTACTTAACGGTCGACAGAACTGAATTCATTGAAAGTATAAATCCGTTCAAATTACTTCTTAATATTCGTACCAAATAGCCTCTGTCGTCACGAATTAGCCACAGTGGCTAATTTGGACTAGGCACGTGGATATGTACCCTAGAAGTGATACGAAAGCCTTTAAATACTATTTTTATAGGTTTTCGTATGTACTCTTTTCAATGATGGCATTCACAAAGTTCAAAAACACTTTTAGTCGGGTTTTCCGGGGGCCGTATCTTTACAAAAACTATGATAAAAACATTTTTGAACTTATAAACCATACTATTGGAAAGACTACATACGAAAACCTATAAAACTAGTATTTAGAGACTTTCGTATCAGTTTTATGGCACATGTTCACGTGCCCAGCCAAAAATCCTACGGAAATCCTGCAAATCTGTCATTTCATTAAACTGAACGATTTTTTGCACATTAAAACATACAACTGACATATCATTCGACGCAGTTTTTTACGCTGAGGTCGAATATGTAGTTAATTTTGTAAGAAAAGTACTTATAAGCGGAGAAAAAGATTAGAGCCCTCGAAAATCTAAGAGTTTTTGGAAAATCTATATCCCAGCTTAGAGCATTTTTACATCTTTGTGCTATCTTCTGTAGATGTCTTATATATAAAAGTAGAATACCTGAAATTCTTGGAATTGCCGGCTTGGAAAACAATGGAAACCTGACTTTACTGGACACACGTTTTCGGAAAACACTTAGCGGAGGAAAAAATATTTTCTCGGCTCCAAAAACTGAGAAAATTTTTTTTTAACGAATAGATAGAGTTTGAGGTCTACTTTCGAATTGTGTATAATTGTTGAGATTATCATATTTGGTTTCGCGAGAAACAATATTTCAATGTGCATAGATCTGTTTTTACAGAAAAACTTCCATAAAGATTTTCTTAAATAAGATGGCACTTAGAAAAAAACTTCCCGTGGCAGTTGAAGGTCTGCTATTCAAATCTTGAATAGTGTACTTTCGTTTTTTCTCCTAAAGTCCACGTCGTTGCCCACTGTGCGTTAACAAGATGAGAAGTGTATTTATAATAATTACATAATAAACTGTCATCCTACCACACTACTATTTTTGTATATAGTATAGGTTTTACTATTTGATTATAGTATTCCATTCAATGAACATAGTTGATGTAAATAGAACTAACCTCCTTTCGAGTTGCACATATATTATCCTTTCCACTGATATAGGTCTGTATTTTTATTTCGTTTCACACATGTTTTATTGTGCGTATACTGTCTGTCTTCATCATCAGTGTGTTTATCTTCTTAGAATGTTACAATAACCAGTTTTCTTTCTTTATATATCACGCTGAGGACAGTTATTTACAGGATTATAGATGATGGTGTGTCTTTGTGTTATAGTATGTACACATAATATTCACACTATTCATTTATCTTATTTATTACCAAAGAAATAGTCAAGGAATAGTACAATGCACAATTTCATCTCAGATATCTCGAGTTTTTTTCACTCATATGTTCGACTTTGTCATTCATTTTTTGTTGGTGTGCTTCTTGAAGAAAGTACAGTACAAATTTTATAAAAAAAACCACGAATTTTGCTTTTTAATCTTTTTAGAAAATGTCTTCACGCAAGAGAAATAATACAGCATCCAAAACTGAAACAGTATTAAACATTGATTTAACAAATAAAAATACTGATTTGAAACCATTTCCTCATCCATTTTATGAAGGTGAATATGGTGCAGGATGTGATCCTAAAACATTAGTTG